CGTAATGCCAATCGCCAAGCACAGGTACTATCTTATTCCGTGTATTTTATCTTCCGCTGTCAGGGGTGCGATTGGTTAGCCTATTGGTCAAAGCGTTCGCTCGTCACGTCGAAGGCCCGGGTTCGATTCCCATCATGTGTTCAATGAGTAAACCCTATTTCTGGTGTCCCGTGTCATGATACTCCAGGAAAGCTGCTAAAAGCAGTGTAAATACATATTCACCCACTTACTCACTCCTTCTGCATACGTCTATCCACTAGACCACTCAGGCAGTTGATTTCGTGTAGACGGGGTCCCCAGCAACACATGCTTAATTTTAATTGTCTTACTAGGTGACTTCATGGATCGGAGGTTCAACGTCCTCCGACGTGCTGGATGTTTGCTAATAATAACAATCACTATTTTGCTCTCTGCCCATGTGGACCAACATTTTACTGCAAGAACCAGTAACAGCAAAGCTGACCATGCAGGTAATATTCCCTTGATCGGATGGGGAGTCCGGCTTAGAATCGTATAATGAGAGGCGACTAACGAGCCTCGGGTAGTCAGGTTCGTTATTTGGTTGATTGCCAGACATCGTATATGTCGGCGTGGGACGTTCATCATACTTAAACCAATCGTTTATCTACATGTATTTATATCGGGGTACATGACACACAATTAACGAAGTCACTATACAAGCATGCCCACCCGGTCCATGGATTGTGGTGCCCGTGAAGACCCGGGGTAGGATAGGTCTTTTCAGCAATCCATGCTTGCCCTAAAAGGCGACTATGCTTCTCGTAAAAGGCAACTAACGGGATCGGGTGGTCTGGCTCACTGACTTGGTTGATGCATGTCATCGTATCCCAAATGCATGGATCGATGCTCATGATGTCTATCACTGGATTGTCCGTGTTGTCTGGTCCAGACTCGATTATTTACAGACCGCCGTCATATAGCTGGAATATTGCTCAGTGCGTCGTTAAACAACCAACCAACCATCGATTGTCGCCTAACATGACAAGCGAAGCGGTGGGTATATTTTAAGCAATGCCCAACATAGACATACACAATGCACTGTCCATGGATCATCGTGATTTTAGGCTAGATATATAAATATATTATTTCGACTTGCTTCAATATATCTTTCCTTTATTTCAAATTGAAGCTGCCTGGTTCCTAAAATACTATGGAGTAACTATATACTCCTTTCTGTTAGGTCTGGTTTACCGGTGCATGCATGCATGCATGAGGAGTCATATCCGTCTTACCGCTTATATCTGTTAGTTATACATTTATATTTATACATTTATTATAAATTTGCACACCAAACTTCTGAGCTTGCATTACATGCATCATGTATATGTGATAGGGTTAAGCTAAGGAGTTATTTGAGGTTACCACTAACTTGTATATGTGGGTAGAATGCCATTCTGAAACAATCGTCAATATCCAGCTTGGATACTTCTTAGAATGTTTCAAAGCTTACATTGGTCTGCATCTACAGCATTCTGAAGTATGTAAAATATAATACATCCGATACAAACCCTCTATCGTTATCTATCGTTCTGAGTGATGTATAGTTTATATCCGATATACATACTCCCCCGCGTCTTTCATTTATAATGATGTATATAACATGTCTGATATACAACACCCCGCGTTTCATTCTGAGTAATGTATATTTTATGTCCGATGTACCTGTGTACTTCCCCGTAACTTTGTAAAGAAGAATTATAAAACACTTTCATCTTGTGTAATTTTCGCCTCAATCTTCTGGCAAACCATATACAATTAACCCATCGAACTAATTAAAAGAAGTGGAAAGAGCTTGTCTAAATACAGAGGCAAGTGAAATAATTGTTTTGAAATTATATAAATATGATTTCTCAAATCTACTCATGTGTGAATTACAAGGATTCCCTTCAGCACAGTTACATTAAATAAATTAATGAGGATACATGTTTTGCATTTCTATTCAGATCGTGGGATTGGAGGAGACCGCACGTTAAATTAAACAGAATACGGAAAATTGTTTACAGTTACAAACAAAACAAAATCTAAATGGAATGCATAATGTGTCGGGGCTCTTTTATTTAACGGCCACAATCCGAAATATTTCAGAAACCCCTCCAGTTACCGCTTTTACTTTTGTAATATGGCCGATTCCATTACATTCTATACACTATTGTGACCACAATGTGATGTAGAAACACATCCTTGATTTCAATTATTGATCTAATTATAACATAATTTGTTAAAAGAAATATCGCACAGACACTGTGACATTTGTGCATAAATGTGAATTGCCGCACAGAAAGGCGTGTGAATATTTGTCAAGTACAAAATAACAAAAAAATAATAATAACTAAAGATGTTTCCAATTTATAGTGAAGAATTTAATGTGCGTTATTTATTTGGAATGGGACATGGAAATATACAAAAGATCATATTCAGTACGGTCCCCCCCAAAATATAAACTAAATCATATTCCGCATATATATCGCCATGTGTTTTAGAGCTAACCGAAAGCATTACCGCAGTAAATGGGGTTTTGCGAAATTGTGGACTGTTTATCCCAGTTCTGGTCGTATCCCAGTTCTGGTCGCTACAGTCGTATCCCAGTTCTGGTCGCTACAGACGTTACGGTAAAGTGGTTCAGCACCTTTGCTGGTTAAATAAACAGAAACATAGTCAAGACAAGATGGCGACTAATGTGTAGTCTGTCGACAGTGACATAGAAATTGCAAATATTTTGGATCGGGCGAACAGGTACCATTCTTGTATTTTTTTCCAATTATACTCGGACCCCATGGTACCGCGGCATTCATCGTATCGCGGCATTTGTGATTTCCGATAGTTCACGCGGGACACGCCTCTTGGCAGCTGTCTATTAATGCAAATCAGTAACCAGGAAGTGCACACTTCGTAAACAATTTCAATTTCCGTTAGGAGTTATAAATGCGTTGATACATATTTCTGGCATCTTTTGTAATATTGCCTTACCCCCATCTATCAATGGCCAACGATATAACCCGTAGTTCCCAAAGTAAACTTTCTCTAGCGACCCGAACTAGTCATCTGCATATTCATGGCAACTAATGAGGTAACGGAAGTTACGTAGTCCGCACAATTTTCCCCGCTCTGTGCCTAGAAACTATTGGGAGATCATAAGGGCCATAATGCCAAACTTAGAAATACGTTCTTCACTAGTAACCAAAAGATAAATACATACTTTGGGCATACTAGGAGTGCTTTTTATATATTTATTGTTGACTTTTAACATTTTAACATTTTGTGACAAATTATTGTCATCCAATTTTTTTTAAACAATCTTAAAATATCATTTCTGATATTTTGATGTTGACTCATAAAAATATTTTTCTCTTACTTTTCGGTAAATATGCATTGAATACCTATTGCTGATAACACATTTAGAATTTTACTTGTGCTGTCTTTGCACTTGTCTGGACAAATCACTGATGTCTGGCATGATCATACCAAGTGGTTTGTAGAATTATGTCCTCTTTTTGTCCAATTCGGACCTCCATACACAACTTTTCTCTGTACCGCGATACGATGGAGTTCTCTCCCTTGTCAAACTGAGCGCGAGGCCCGGCTTTTACTCGGAGCTACTAATGTAAATAATGAACTTTTATCAGTAAAATATGCATTGTTTGATAACATGAATGATATCTGATACAGAGAACACGAATAAACATAAAGGTTAGTGAGTGCATTTTGTTCCGTTTAGCGTACATGACAAGTACCGCGATACCCCGAGGTTGCAGGCTAAAGGCTAAACAACGTGATGCTATTTTGGCATGTGCATCAAGGGATGTTTTAGGTGTTCTACCGACTGGTTACGGCAAAACTGTTGTAATACAGTGCCTACTGTATTTGAACGATTCCGCCAACACTGTAATGGTTGTGAATCCACTAAATGCGATTCTCGAAGAGCAGCACAATCGCCTCGGTAGCCGCAGTGTAATAATTAATCATGAAGATGTTGATTATCTATCTAATGGGTGTTCGGGATCTGCAGAGTCGGAGAAGAAAATGAAGCGAGTAAAGAGTGGCCAGGTTAACTTCATTTTGGGTCACCCAGAGCACCTGTGTAGTGTGGCTGTTAAACGATTTCTAATGTCAGAAGACATATCATCAAAGGTAAGTTAGAAGTCAGCTCTCAAAACTCAAAGCAGAGATTGTTACGATAAATGTCACCTACAGAAATCTAGGTCGATTTCCTTTTGCATGTTGTATGTTGTATGTTGTATGTTGTTAGGGTTTTCATATAACCATGGACACATAATACGATTTAGGGTCCATTATATAACCTGAACATGCTGATTGAACACTTGATGAATTATTGAAACATGATCCCAAACATGTGACAATTATGCAAAGAATCACATTGAAATAAAGAAAATGTGTTGCATAGCCCATTGATATGGTCATGATATTGTCTTCGTGAAAATATTGTTATGATTATTATTATAACTGTTCATCAAACAAGCTATTGGTGAAAATTAAATGTGTTTCATGTTTGGAAAATAGTGCTATTTAAACCTCCTGAAAGGGCGATACCTTGACGTGGTCAGGAGGCTTAATTCTCTTTGACTTTGATATGGTCGTAAGGGAAGACCAAAATCGCCTTGTTGTAGTGGTTATTTTATTGCACATTTTTTTAACTGTTTTCTATAAATAAACATTTAACAGCTACCATTAAAGCCCAGCATGACTTTGTGCATGGTGAATCCTCTAATTGTAGCTGAAACTCCTGACAGGTGAAGGTGGTTTTTTTAAATTTTTGATGCCAAGTCATTAAGTTGTTAAACCACCTTTTGAAACTTTTTTTTGTCTTGAATAGACCTGTATGTGTATGTAATTTACAAGAATGAAGGCTATATACTGGTACAATATTATACAAATATTTATGCAGGGTTAGAACTTGGCACCAGTCCTATAGTCCTTGCCAAACTGCCCAATAGTAAAGGACAAGTATAAATTGGTCAGTTTTAAAGGTTTTGCTATATGATATCATTATAAGGACTAGTGGACTGAAACTGTTAGTTTCTACCGCTGTTTATGTAATGTCGAAGTTGCAAAGTTGGACTGCAGATGTACTGTCTTCCATCCGTTTGTATTATCATACCCTTTAGGCCTTATTATAGAACAACATGAATCCATAACGAGCATAATTCATGTTAAAAGTTGTTTTATTCAATGTTTTAAATTAGCATACATCTTCTAGTCTAGGACTACTGACATTTCCTTGTGGATTACCACTTCGTCCAAGGTAGATGGTAACTCTGAAGCAGATTATTTGTAGACTAGTAAAAATACCCCAATTATTTGCAATCAAAATAAATTTATAAACAAAACAGTATACACCTGCAAGGTATCGATACACTTTGTTGATACCCAATGTATGGAAACGTGACAGTTGACGGTATATCAGAGACATGGCAGGTCTGTGGGCGTATAGCAGGTGTGGCTGGTTCACTGACTGTAACTGGTTGCGAGTAGTTATGTGTGGCATCAGTTGACGGTATATCAGAGACATGGCAGGTCTGTGGGCGTATAGCAGGTGTGGCTGGTTCACTGACTGTAACTGGTTGCGAGTAGTTATGTGTGGCATCAGTTGACGGTATATCAGAGACATGGCAGGTCTGTGGGCGTATAGCAGGTGCGGATGGTTTACCGACCGTAACTGGTTGCGAGTAGTTATGTGTGGCATCAGTTGACGGTATATCAGAGACATGGCAGGTCTGTGGGCGTATAGCAGGTGCGGATGGTTTACTGACTGTAACTGGTTGCGAGTAGTTATGTGTGGCATCAGTTGACGGTATATCAGAGACATGGCAGGTCTGTGGGCGTATAGCAGGTGCGGATGGTTTACTGACTGTAACTGGTTGCGAGTAGTTATGTGTGGCATCAGTTGACGGTATATCAGAGACATGGCAGGTCTGTGGGCGTATAGCAGGTGCGGATGGTTTACTGACTGTAACTGGTTGCGAGTAGTTATGTGTGGCATCAGTTGACGGTATATCAGAGACATGGCAGGTCTGTGGGCGTATAGCAGGTGCGGATGGTTTACCGACCGTAACTGGTTGCGAGTAGTTATGTGTGGCATCAGTTGACGGTATATCAGAGACATGGCAGGTCTGTGGGCGTATAGCAGGTGCGGATGGTTTACTGACTGTAACTGGTTGCGAGTAGTTATGTGTGGCATCAGTTGACGGTATATCAGAGACATGGCAGCTGGTCTGTGAGCATATAGCAGGTGAGGCTGGTTCACTGACTGATACATTTGATAACATAGATCTTATTAAGGAATGCGAATGAATGGTATAAAGTGCCTGACTGCTACATGACCAGGTCACTTCAATCAAAGGCCCAAAAGTTGCATCAGTCTGTACACCCACTTCTCTGGTCTTTTTAGATGGTGGATTCAATCTGCGTTTTCGGGTGAATGCATTCATGCATGATGAAGCTGTGGAAAAAGTGATGAATAACAGTTATCACAGTTCATAGAGGACATCACCAAAATTTTATATGTTAAAAATACATAAAAATATGCTTATCATGTTAGACAATTACCAGAGAGATAAGTCAAGTATGATATATTTGTTGTTTATTGTCAGCAATTGACTGATTGACTGAAATTTCCAGCTATATCACCATGATCACAGTGTTCTGAAAATACTAGAGTCCAGGAAATCATTGTTAATACCGATATACTGTTTTTAGTACATAAAATATTTATATAGTGAGAATAACATGCACCCAAAGACAACAAAAAGTCATCATATGTCCAGCTACATCATAGACAGACACAAATATTTTTCTCAGCACCTGGTAAAATTAGCAGAAAACCACACCAACATGGAATCTGACCACCTGACTGCATCTCACATCATGCAATAGAGTGCTTGTGATCAATTCTAAACTGGGTGTATACTGATCATTTAGTCAAGTACATACTCACTTTGCAAATGGATAAAACTTAAAAATACTGGTGTCTGTTTTATTCCTCTTTCCAAAGCATACTTATGGCTTAAGATAATAATGTATTTACCTGTCCTGTTAAGTTGAAAGGCAGTATTCATTTGATCGGCACAGTCCTTCCAGTCTTTGTATTTGATATTTTCCACCTCCCACCTCCCTGCTCTCCACAGAGTGTGTCAAAAATTTCTCCTCATCTCTAGTCCATCTCCCATTATGGCATGGTTCCTGCAAAATAATATATATTCTTTTTTTTCAAATATTCTAAATTTAGGCAAATGGTGCAACATCAGTATGTTTCATACTGAATTTGTGTCAACAGCTTAAAACAAAACTTATAATAAATAATGTAGGGAGTCTCATATAAAAGTTGTCAGGATGGGCAATACTGTTTGCTTTGTCTTAATCTATACCACCTCAATTTTGTATCAATGATTATGTTATGGGTTCTGTGATTATTTGGTTAATAATTGATTTAAATACGTTCTTATGTTATGGTTAAAAAAAAGACACTCAATAAGTCAGATTCAAACGAAAGCATTCTTTACCTGAGAAATTTTTCTTTCTTTTGGGTGTTATCCCTGTTGGATGCATTTGTCGCACACCCTTCCTGCACATCCTTTTTGGGGTACGGTCAGTCATGACTTCATTCATATGCAAGTTCCTACAAACAAACATGTATGTGTATGCAGTTTGAATACAACTAATGATTACATGGTAATGAATGATTTACAAAACCAAAATGACACTGTCGATCACAATCTGGAATGAGTGACTGAAATAATGCATTATAAGGACGATGAACATGATACCCCTCAGTCTGGCTTCGGCCATAGGAGTGTGCAGCTCCAGCAAGTTTTTTAATACTTCAGTATCTTTGACGGAATTGTGAGATAAGTATACTCAGGATTTAGTTTACCAATGAAATTAGGATACAAGATCATTATGGGACCATATAAAGAGCACAGTTCAAACGATTCCCATTTCGTAATTATTGCCACGATAAAGTATTTGCAGCTAAATATTTACTTTTCCTTTGATTTAGGTATTTGGGGTTTGGTCATTCATCTTATGTTTTCTTAATACATTGTACCAATATTCTATCTGGGGAGATTCTAGACAAGAAAATAGGTGTCGAGCAAATGATTAAATATTAATAAATAAAAATAAATATAACTATGTCAATATTTGCACGAAATTAGTCAAAAAATACATTGACATCCAATAGCCATTATGTGGGTACCAATACTCACCTCTATTACTGCAAAAACTACAATATTTCAAGGCTCACAAGCCTTGCCCAATGTGTTTTGACAGCCGCCATTTGTTTTAGCAGATGATGTTTTATGGTGGGCGACAACGGTCCATTAATTCCTTGAAAAGCAGAGCAACAGCAGCAAGACCAATCAGAGGATCCGGAAAACAGTCTATGGCCTTACGTGACCCCAGCTGTTAATCTGGAGACAACAGATGTCATTACAGTTACTTCACATGTAGTATATTCACAAAGGCATTCAACAATATATTATTTTATCACATGTACCTGCATAGGCCTTGTTGCATGTTAAAGTAGTGCAACCTATTCATCTGACTCTTTATATATTGTAATGCATTGGTTTACATGATCATCACATGGAGACATTTTAAAAGTCACATCAAATGATTAAATATTGATAAATACAAATAAATATTACTTTAAAGAAATTTTCAAATAATTTAAAAATAATAGTCTAGTCTGACCGTATAAATATGGGTAGATCTTTAATGTCTTTTCAATTAAATATGAAGCATTTGATTATTTATTCATTGTCCTGATTTTTTTCATCTGTTGATCATATTTATAATGTTAATTCTTTGAGGGAATCAGGAGATTAGGGACCAACCATTTGATATTCTGGTGGGATTTTATAAGATAAATTTCCCTGAAATATGCTTGAAAAAACTATTCATGCTTCAAACTGTTGAAAAAAAGAAATTGCCTGCTACAAAGAATACATAGTTGCAAGAGGCACATAAAAACGTGCTTAGCCTCATAGTTGTAATTAAAAGAATATCTGGTATTTCAGCTGTAGCTGATAATATATTTTGTCTCCAAACAAAATCCCAGACCCAGACCTCCATCCCAGACCCCACTCCCCTACCCCACCAATATCAAGTGGTCCCTCAGTATGCTCAGGAATTTAATAATATACCCACGAAATTAGGGTACATGACCATTATGTGACCAAAAACATAGCCCAGTTCAAATGATTCCCGTTTCGTAATTATTGTCACGATAAAGTATTTGCAGCTAAATATTTACTCATGCTTTCATTGCCTTTAATTTTTTTTATACTGGAATCATCAAAACTACTCACAAAAAATTTCTAGATTTTATTTCGGTCAAAATTCAGTTTCATGTGTTATCATTGACATTTTGGCCGTGTCATGTTGTAGCCTAGAAATGACAATTTCGTACTACCAGACACAGTGACAAGCATATGAATTATGAATATAAGTGCATATGTAATAGTCCATGCAACTGATAGTTGACAACACGGCAGTTTCATACAGAATTTCTCGGAAACTTAAATTTTCTTGCCTAACAAACAAAGAGAGTAATTTATCAGTGGTAAGTGTATTCGGCGTCACGACAGTCGTCACTTGTGTGTAAACATAACGGTCATTCGGTTGCGAGTTCAACTCCAAGCATGGTTGTGACCACCTATCACAGTGGGGAGTTGGTGGCAGCGATAGTATAGAGAGCTCCGCGAGCGGACTATCGCTGTGAGGAGCTTGGTGGCAGCGATGTTACCGATAGACTGGTTCCCGTTCGTTCCTGAGACAGACTGGAACGACCGGTATTGGGTAAAACAACCTTCACCTTGACGTTACGGTAAACTGGTTTAGCGCCTTTGCTGGTTAAATAAACAGAAACATAGTCAAGACAAAAGGCGACTAATCTGTCGTCTGTCGACAGTGACATAGAAATTGCAAATATTTTGGATCGGGCGAACAGGTACCATTCTTGTATTTTTTCCAATTGGCCACCTATCACAGTGGGGAGTTATGACTGGTGGCAGCGATAGTATAGAGAGCTTCGCGAACGGGCTTATCGCCGTGAGGAGCTTGTCGCCCGGCCAGACTTTGCTCTATGTTACAGTTTTCATAAAGCGCAGAGTTCCTTGTTATATTTTCCAGATCGCATTTCTGTCAATGCCTTAAGACGTTATTTTCGCATTTTTTATAAAATTATATAAATCTACATATGTTTAAAAACCATAAAGGTTTCGCATCAGTTTTAACAATTGAATTTTAACTATACAGTGTAGTATTTATATTTATTGACTTAACAAGGACATACATGTGATCAGATATTTGTCCGGTAAAATTTAATATTTTTCAAGCAAAAGTAAGTGTATTTCGTTTCGTTTTAAATGCAATACCTATAGGTTATCTGTACAACTGAAAGACAAATATTTGATAACAAGTGATTAAAAACTGTCTGCATTCTTTAAAAACAGGTGATTAAGTGGATGTAGATGTATTCCATTAAATATAACAATTTATTGAAATTTTGACAGCAAAAGTCAAGCACAGATTTTCGTATCTAAAAATGAATTAAAAAATGGGTTACCTTGCTCGTTCGGGTTTACAATGTCGTAATAAAGTTGCATAGTTTGAACATGGTCCAAAATTCACTTTTCCAATATATGTTCGCAGAAAACGGTTATTGAATGTAGTTTACTCATAAATATAGGTCTTCAGCAACCCATGCTTGCTGTAAAAGGTGACTAACGGGATCGGGTGGTCAGGCTCGCTGACTTGGTTGATGCATGTCATCCATCCCAATTGCGTGGATCGATGCTCATGATATTAATCACTGGATTGTCTGGTCCAGACTCGATTATTTACAGACCGCCGTCATATAGCTGGAATATTGCTGAGTGCGGCGTTAAACAACAAACCAACCAACCAAACCAAATAGACATTTTCAACACAATAATCTTTGAATTTTGCTTTCAATAAATTGATTTTAAAATAATAATTGATTTTGTTCTTTTTAATATGTAAGTGTACATGTACCCGTTTTATGTTAAAAAAATATATAGATACTTGAGACAATTCAGACAATAAAATCGTTGTAATGTATAGGGAACGGACAAATACTAGTAAATGATCCTCAGCAATGCTGTCAGACAAGCCAAACATCATCGAACTACATTCTGGAATAGATTGTATTTCGCTCCTCGGCCAGATTTAAATAAAATCAGACAAATCAGTTTATTAGCTCTACTTAATTTAAAATGATAGAAAAGGACTACACTATATGTATGTTCACGTTAACTTGTGGCGTGTTCCATGAGACAACATACCTTGACAATTCCTAAATTATCTCTCTTTGCAAACGAAAATTAGTGTCACTTTTAAATTTTGAAAAGAATTATGGATCTAGATAGACCCAGTATACATCACATTACATCAGACTTGAACACGCATCTTAAATGCTGAACGCCAGCTGTTCGATCAAAGGTCCCGTGTCTGGTCAATGTCATTTAGAATAACGTCCCTTACTTTCGTCCTTGACTTTGTACGCAATGTGTTCACATAAAGTTCTGCGCTTCGCGAGAGGACCATTTTTAGGGAAAATAGGGAAGTATCTTTCTGCACATGTGTTCAATTCTAATAGTGTAGTGTCGTAACACTACACTTATTGATTTTGACATTTATTGGGTTTGCAAAAAGCCTTTGCGTGACACACGAATAATATTTGTGTTCGGGTAGTCATGGTATCTTTTATCATAAAAACAAAACGTCTACATGTAGGGCGTATGTAGGATTGTACTGAATGTCACTCAAATATTTGCGTGTTAAACAACGTGCCATGACAATGTGATCATGAATTCCGTGTCACTTATCTATGTTGTTATTGTCAGCAGCTGGGAAATCCCCGTGACGTCATTGGAAAACACCCCGCTTTTTCAATCTCTAACACAAATGAGTTCTCTGTCAGAGTTACGATAGGTATCGTAGCTCTGAACGATCTGTGACACGTTTAGGATAGTTTCGACAAGTAGAGATTGCTGCAGAGCATCAATAGCTCCCCGGGGTGGGGTGGGGGGTGGGGTGTGTGTGTGCACAAATAAGATCTATTTATTGTCTTTGGTGGTAATTTATACAGAAATAATGATTTTTTTCGAAATAAAAAGGGGTGGTTGGCCCAGTCGCCGAAGGCGCTGCAATTCGCTATGCAGAGTTGTGTCCCTTTGGCACGCCAGGAACCTATGACAGTGTGTTTGAATCTCGGTTCACCCCGATTTTGTTGTCAGCACAAAACCCTTGCTCGTTGGTTTCACCAAAGTGGTGAACGTCTAAGACCTGCATCACTTCAGACTTTCCTCCCACTTCAAGCTGACACGGAATACTATTCACGACGGCGTTAAACCAAACTACCTCACTCACTCTTGTATATGGTTCCGTTTGGTTAACTGGGTTTGTGTTGTGATTGCTTCCGGCTTAGATTGGAAATATGTTTAGAAGAATGTTACTATGTTCAACCCAAACATCGTGAAGATATCATGCAACCGTATTATCTTTTTGGAAAATAATTGCAAACTACAGGCCAACCTGTTGATTTCCTATGTATCCAGAAGCAAAGAACATATGCGGGTGTATGATCTCTGCTGGAAGTAAATTTTTTTTTGTCAAAGCAATAAACCATGCAGAAACGTAAACCTCCGCATGAAACGGTATGTATCATACATTACATACAGTGAAGTATTTAAAACAATGCTGTGCTCAACTATGCAAAGCAAGCGCCATACATGTGATCATGAAGACAACTAATAAAAATATTCTCATATCAAACCTGTTGTTTTACATGTGTTGTTTATTGAACAAAGTCATACTTTATAGAAGCCTGTTATTTAATCGTGTTGAACAATATGTTGCAATAGCAGTGTGAAAATTGAGTGCGCGTGACAGGCTTGGCCTAAATTCCTTCCTGGAACGTTTCTCGATGGCTGCCTGAATAACATACGATTCATTGCAAAGGTAGTGCGCAATTGAGCTGTTCGGGTAAGGGAGATAATCACTCACTCTCAGTGATACAGCTTGAATAAGATACGATGTACATGTACAGCAATGCAAGGTCAGTGTGTGAATTTATCACTTCTATACTACGCCTATAGCTAAAGGAGATAATCGCTCAATGCGCAATAGTTTATTCTTACAAAATATAGACCGGTCAACTTTAGCGAAATGGGATCATTTTTAGCTCTTTTAAAAACAAAATGAACAAATTTCATGGGTTATCAGCATTACGAAAAGTGACTAAGTCTCAGAATAGCAAGAAGATTTTGAAGTATCTCTTATTGCTGGAAAATATAAACATCAACATTTCACGCACATTTCACATGATTTGTATGTTTCGTTTCGGTAACTGTGTGGCTTGAAATTTCAAAGAAACCAACATGTCGACTTACATGCTCTTAAAT